CAGGCTCTCTTTAACCCACTTAGATAATAGGACCCTGAGAGAAAAACACCTCAGAACTAGAGACCCTTCAAAAGAAGACTGGGAAATATCCAGTGAGGAAAACTTTGAAGGCTTAAGTGTGGCGGTAGTGAAATCGAAGGAACATAAAATTCCAGGAAGAGAAGATAGTGAAAAGGGTCCACTGTAACATAAAGAATAAACATAATAAACTGTGACTTGTGTCCACTGGCTTTATTCACAGGTGTCCTGGGCAGAATCAGTTTCAGCTGGGCCATATCTGACGAGAAAGTGAGAGGATAGTAAATGTAGCTTATCTTCGGAGTGGTTAGCCAGGAAAGACAAAGTGGCTAGAGAAGATTTCACATGGCGAGGGAGTCACTATGAGACAGAGATGAGCAATTTAGTTTTTGTTTTTATTTTAATACTGAGCCAAAAAATAGAGTAAGCAAATAAATAAGTCAGTAAATAAACAGATGTTTAGAGTTACTTTATCATCATCTAACAAACCTCAACAAGACTTAGTGGAATACAACTCATAGCTCTTATGCTCACGATTTGATGAATTGTGTGGGTCAACAACTCTGGAGAGCACAGGGGAGATGGCTTAACCACGTCTCATGGTATTTGGGGTGCTGCTGGGAAATCTCAGCAGACTACGTTGACTCAGAGTCTGAGGCTAAAACAGCTGTTTAGAAGATCCACTACCAAAACCAGAGACGTGAGAGTTAGGGAAGAAATCCACGCTGGCCTTTGCTCATCTGAAAAAAGAGGACTCAGTGGAAACTGAAGGTATGAAGTAGGGGGCTGGGAGAGAGCTGGGATATTTCAAAATAATTTAGGAGAGGAGAAGATTGAGTCACTGAACACTGAGAATTTGTGAGTAGTATTGAAAGCTCAAGTAGAGTTTTAAATGTGTTGTCTATGCAATTGTATTGTTCACACCAACATATGGTGCAAGGGGAGAGGTAGCTAAGTGATGTCCTGAATTCAGAGGAATCAGATTATACTATAGGCATCTTTGGATATTTTCTAGATTTATATGCATCTGGAGAAAGAAAAGCAATGGCTAGATTCCAAACAAAGGAATGAAGAGAGGATACTTACCTTAACAAAATGATATCCAGGGACACTTCTCCACCTGTATCTGTTCCATTTTTTATATTACTTAGGTGTATATAAGGAATCTTTTTCTTTTCTTCAGGAAAAATTCTGCTTTAGTTTTGCACCTTAGGCCAAGTCTGATCTACCAAGATTTGCTATTTGAAGTACTGTATTGTAAAGGAATCTAACAACAAATCAGAGACCTCAGGAAAGGGTCAGGGGAAGATGAACAATTAGGGATGTTTCTCATAGATGACAGAAGTTCCTGGTGGTGGCATTCATAATTCCCCTTCTGACTAGCTATTCTTACCCTATCTCTTTGACTAGAAATATGGAGGCGATAATAATAATTATCAAAACAATGATAGTAACAATGGCAAAACTTTTCATTACACCATACAATATATAATGTTACATTTTTGTAAGACAGCATTACACTTTTGTTGACTGTCTAAAGGTTGCCTGACAATATACATCTTGCAGACAAAGTTTGAATATTTATTAAGTAATTTTAGGGCCTTAACTTTCTAGAGTATTATTCTGACAGAGTGGAAAACATGTATAATCTAAGTAACCAAATGAAAACTTTATTGAAGTGCATTCTCATTTCAAATCATGAGCAAATCTACAAAGAGGAATGATTTCTACACATGAGAGGGAATTGAATAGCTTGTCTATGTACTTGTATAATTACATTTTCACTAAATTGTCATTTCTTTCCAATGATTAATTCAAAAAACAATGGAATAAAATGATTGTATTGACTATTTCTTCTTTTACCCATCTTAATTCCTTTGTTCATCCCCTTTTCCTCCCCTTTTACTGCTCTCCCTCCATCTACTCATCCCCTTTCCATTTGAGAAAAATCTCGCTACTTCCCATTATCTTTTATTTTGCTTCTTATTAATAATTTGGGTTTCTCATACAAGAGAAACCATGCGATATTTAACCTTGTGTGTCTAGTTTATTTCACTTCACATTATGTTCTCAAGGTGCATCCATTTTCTTACAATGATTCAAATTTATTTTCACTTGTGGCAGAGTAGTACTCTATTATGTATATATACCACGTTTTCTTTATCAGTTTTTCTGTTATGGACACATAAACTGCTTCCAAGATTTACCTATTGGCTATTTCTGACCAAATTTAGTCAAAGCTATTTACCAACTATATTTCATTGGCTCTTTTTTTTTTTTAAAAAAAGAAATCTTAATACTCTAACTTTGAGATTCATTTACAGCTGATGCTATACCACAGATTTACTGAAAGCATTTTTTTATGCTCTCATAAAGCAATCTTATTCCATAAAAGGGCATTTTACCTGCATTTTTCAATGCTGTAAATTCAGAAGATAAGTCACACACACACATACACACACACACACACACAAAACTTGGCGTACAATTCATCAATGGGAACTGCTTCACCAGTATGCTTCATGGTCAATTCTACCCCAGCGGATTTCTTCCTTGACAATATTATCTGCATTTCACTTTTCATTGAGAATTTTAATGTCTCTCAAGATTCTTCTGTATGATAATTTACCCATATCAGGGATGAGTAGCATTTCATGAACTTTAGCCCTTACAGCAGAAATTCATTAGGAGACAACAAAGTAATTACAGTGTTTAAGTTCCAGTGGCAAACATAGTGACTCACTTTTACCTAAACAATTATTGAATCATAAAATTTAAAGGCCTAGTCTGATTATAAAAATGTTCCATTTTTTTAGAAAATAGAACTAAGATTGGCTTAGATTTAATGAGCCAGTCCTACTCTTCAGTTTAAATGAGAGAGCAAGACTGTTGTGTAAGAGAACACGAGGTAGGTCTTCAACCTAATTATCTCAGTCATAGTCTGTATGTCAGGCTGTTATGAAATCTCAGTAAGAAATACACAGCATTCCAAAATATTCTCTATCCCTAGCAAAGGTGAGATTTTATCTAGTCTGAATCTCAGATACAAACATATCTAACTTAAGAGTAGAAAAAGAAATTATTTAAAAATTTAACATATATCTTCTGAGGCTTTCTGATTACTTTGTTTACTTGAAGCCTTCCATAAGATTGCATGATAAGAGGACTTTTTGTTGTATTTGGTCACTACATCATCCCTAATTTTTCTAGTTTATACCCTGAAAAGAGACTTATTAAATAATATTTTTCTGGAAAATTATATACTTTTGCTATGGATGAGCATGTCAAAACTTCTCTTTGTACTAAAAATTTGACATGGAAAAAAGTCTTTGAGACCAATGATCTTTCAAAGATTTGTATTTGATATAATATCTCAAGGATGTAGCTTTATAGATTTGTCTTCAGGGGAATGCTCCATAAAAACTGACTTAATAAAACAGTAAAATGCAATGGTCACATTCATGCAGGCCTTATTGCAAATTTGTATTTATTAACATTCCTGGAAAATACAGAATGTAAAGTATCTAGTACAAATCATATTCTCAAATCCATAATATTTGCTGATATACCACAAGTTTTTACTTAAAAATATGTTGTTAGTAGAGAATTAAATTATTCCATTTGTAATTCTTGCAGGAGGCTAAGACTGATTTGGTGATCAACTCCTAGGAGAAATTTTCTTCCAGGAACATGGGGTAGACCAAATTAGTAGAAACATAATACACTGTTTGTGGAGTTTTAAAATGCACGTTCATATCTATTATTATCTACTCTTAGTATATTTATAGTATGATCCTGCTATTCTTGATCATAATCCTTTCCTGCCTACATAAAATGTCTTATAACAAATATTTTCAAAAACTTTTCTGAGGAGAAAAAGAGGTTGTGTACATCACCACTTACATAAATAATCTTAAACCAAAATATAATATACAAATATATAAATAAGCATACTTAAATAATGATTATTCACTCCCACAAGCAGCAGTAGAAAATATTTTTTTCAACAGTGTTAAGTTCAAGCGGCTCCATATGCTTCAGAATTTTATTTTATTTTTACTTTGAAGACACAAGGTGATCAGGGTTGTTTTGTAGTGAAATCTTTATGCATATTTTAGTGCCCGTATCTTTATTAGGAAGGCTGTTTCTGGTGACAGTTTGATTTGGAAGAAGTTCTAATCATCAACATTACTAAATCACCGGGGTGATGTGGTGTGTTTATTGCCCAACTCTGAGTTCTCAAACTAGACTAGAACCATGTAGCACTGAGATCAATGTGTCCATAATTAGCTGGAATCACTGAACACCATGACGGGTTTGTACCACTGATCTCCTCTTTGTGAATTCTTTTTTTGTAATGTTCCGTAATGTAGAAGGTTAAGCACAAAGGAAATTGCATGGACTCTTGGACCATCAGGGAAATGTTCACTTCATTGTGTTTGCCCCCCAAAACTACAAACAGCAGCTAGATGCTGGGAACAAATGACTCAATGCATTTTCTCAGTGGAAACAAAGGAGGACTTGAAGGCCAGGCCCTCTCAACCGAGATTCGCCATTGTGGCTTTTTTTTTTTTAAAGGTCTTTTTGTTCACTTATAGACTAAAAAAAATAACTTCTTGGTAGTGGCGTGAGTTACGGGTCACAAAAAAAAGCAAGAAACTAGTGGCGTCCTGGCAGTGAATTATGGATTTCATAAATAAACACTTTTCATTCTTGAGGTAGGTTTAGGCCGAAGGTTTCAGCCAGGTAGGACTTCGGCCACAAGATGGCACTGACCTGCAAACAAAGGAGAAATCACAGTGGCACTGACTTTTTAAAAGCCTTGTAGAATCTCCTTGCCTTCCCTGAGTCAAGGGCTCGGTAGGGATGAAGGCTCACTTTGCTCCGCGCTGTACCTCCGTGTCTAACGATTCGTGGTTCACGTTCAATTGCTTTTCTTTCCAGAATTCCTAGGCAACGCGCCCTCGAGGTGAATCTCCCAGGGGAGGCGTTGGGGGTGTGGGGAGCCCGGGTGCTCCTCAGGGCTTCGTCATGTGATCTCGGGATGAGGTGGAGTTCAGCTTTAAGGGGCGTCTCTTCCTATCTTCACCAATCTTTAGGGTTTGAGCCAGAGAAATAGCAGCGGATCCTTGCAGCTCCTTCTGGCCCCTCGCAGGATACCTTTCCTGCTGTAACAAACGGGCGAAAAAGACGAATTCAGAAGAGGGTAAGTTTCAAGTTTAGGCTTTTTAAAGGGACTTTTGAGAAACCGCTCGTTGATGGGGAGAGGGATAAGAGAGGAAGGGAAAGGACGCCAGTGTCCGAAACTGAGTTGGGGCGTGGAGTCAGCCCTGCGCCTCGATGGGCGCAGGCAGGTGTTGGACGCTCCAGAGGTTGGGGCAGCTGCGCGCGTCCGTGGAGTGGGATCCAAGTTTCCTTCTCCCAAAGCTCTCTTTAAAGCCCCGGGAGAACGGAAAGGTGGTCTCCTTGGTCTTCCCCGCACCTCCCTCATCTTTCACATTTTTCTGGAGCCGCTGTCCTGGCGGGGCGGGAGTTTTCCTGGAGTCACTCACTGGGACGCGCTGGGAGCGGTGGGTGGCACGGGCGAGGCGTCTGCCCTCGCCTCTGGCTCGCGGCCCTCGGCCGCCCTCCCTGGAGGTAGAGGTGCAGACTGGCCCCGGAGCGCGGACCCCAGGGCGGGCGCCCCTCCCCACTAGTCTAGGCTGGAATCGAACCGGAGCTCCCTGCCAAGGGCTCTTCCAGTCTGTCCCTGCGCCCTGGCAGACACCCAAGCCCTCTGCTCCTATTTCGGAGTTTTAATCATCGAACGCTTGCGCTTCTTTTGGATCGTGCTGGATTGGGAGTCTAGGGGTGGACTCCAGGAAGACGGTGTCCCGTGGATCCCCAGGTAGAATGGAGAGATGTGCATGTTTTAAAGACAGGTGTTGAGCTAACGAGAGAGAGACAGGATTTCTGGTGCCTGCTTGTTTCGGGTTGGTGTGGATGCTTGCTGTTTGCCAGACTCTTGTCATCTCGGGCAGGGACGTTTTCTGAGAGATGGATGGGCGCATATGTATGGGTAGGGGGAGAGGAATAGAAGAAATCCGGGTAATCCACAGTGTGATAAAACTGGTTAGAAAGCACACCAGATGGAATTTTGACCAAATGCATCGTGTTTCATTCCTTGGTAACTCCTATTGCACAGAGAAAACATAGAGGAGGTGGTATGTTTCCTCTTTCTTGCCTTCTTTCTTTATTTTTGAGCAACTCTCAGTGATTCGCCCTGCCCCTCCCCACTCCCCCGCCTAGGCACAAGGGGTAACTCGTGGGATAGCTCATACAGGTGGGGGCAAGTGCAGAGCTCACCTGTCCATCAGGACAGTACCCAGGTCCTCCACAGGTTCCCTAGGGGAGAGAGAGGGAAGGAGAGGGAGAGAGAGAGAGAGAGAGAGAGAGAGAGAGAGAGA